CTCTTTTGGGTGGCTATTTTTAAACACCCCTCCATCAGGACCATTTATTCTCCTATTTGAATACATTCTTTGGAGTTTTCTGTTATCTGAGCCATTCATTTGATTTTCCTATTCATTTTCATCCTTCCCTCTTCGTCTATATGAGTTGATAGATGATCATATCCCCTATGCTATTGGGTTTATCACTTCCTCCCCCTCTTCTTGATCATTTCTCTTCCTTGATGTTCATCTCCAGAGGTTGGGAATGTGGTTTGATCAGTAGGAGGCTTCAGGACAATGGTCTACAGGCAAAATGTCTTATCACCTTTGTTACGTATTAGAATTTTGAATAGTCTGAAGCCGAGTTAACTGATAATTTAAATTTAGTAGTTAAATTGTACTTTGGATTTAGTATTTAAATATATGCCGATATTTTAGTCAATTTACGATATTTGCCAACAAGATTGATACACACCGTCTTCGTTTTTAACACAAATACATTTTAATATACACATAACAGTACAATTTACAATAACAATTATTACAAATAGTTATTACAAAGAATGATTTATAAGCAGAAGTTTCACAAACTTACAAACAATATAAAGGTTTCTTTCTAGTCTGGAACCTCCTTGATATCTTATCGAGGTTTCACGATGAGCGAGTTAATTATGACTAGATGTAAATATGATCTGCTGGGAAGCTAGCTAGCTTTGTCCTTGGCCCCACACACACTAGGTTTTCCACGATGAATTTATATGTCTTTGTAAAATTACTAATGTCCGATGAGAATCCACTGAAGTTAAATGATTTTTTTAAAATAGCTTTTAAAGTTTTATAGCACACCGATATATAGTGAACTAATTATAGACACACTCTCCCTGGTGCAGCACGTTGGTTCTATTTATAGGCATGGGAACGTTTTTTAGAAAATTCAGTCTTATGTAACAATACTGGTTAAAGCATTTACATACACACGTATACGTTTGATTCTTACTCTCGAGAATCTTCTATAACTTTGGAGAATAGGCGGGAGTTTCACAATACCTATCTAACAGTATAAGCTATGTATGTTTCTAAATATAAACTTAATCTAAACAATGTTCATATTAAAATAAATACATAACAATAAATTTGTTACACCTTCACATCCTGGCACTTCTGCGAATTCAGTGTGCTTTCGTTCATTCTCTTCTTTTTGTCCGGATTTAACTACTCATGTTTCCTTTCGACTATTTGACTGTGGTGGATTCTATCACTCGCCAAAGGGACACTCATTCTTGTTCCTTTTGTGGAAGATTGCAGATCTCCCTTTTTGAACCTACACACTTGACATACATCTCCTTGAGGGGCGTGTTCCAGGTGCTTTTGCCCTTGTTGCTGATTGACTTTCCCGTCCCGTCACACTGTCCCCTAAGGAGTGACCTCTCGATTCTCCAAATTTCTGGTAGCTCTGCCTCCTGTGAGGTATTCCTCCACATGAACTTTAAATTATTATTTTTTAATTTTCAGGTAGTTACCTTTTTTGCTTTTGGTCTCTAGTTTTTATTCTCATGCCCTGGCTGTTGATACATTCAGACAGGATTACATCCCGTTTATAACATTAGTTTTTTTCTCTTCCCAAAATGTTTGTTCATCCATGTCACTCCAGTTCTGGTCTTTCTGATTAATCTTTCCTGGCTGGCACACATCTGGGTTTCTTGGCTGTTTTGGCTCAATTTGTTTCCTTTGTTCTGGATCATTTTTCTTCACCTACATTTTTGTGGCTCATGTAGTATATTCCTTTTGACTTTTACGTTTCTTACCATTTTCCACATTTCTTCTCGATCTGTTCCAGAGGACCTTGTCTATCCAGTACATGCTGTGGGTAGCTTCATTGTTTTCAAAGCTTTTTTTTGTGGAATCCATTTCCCACAATTTCCTTACCCTAGTCCACTGCTTTGTCTTTGACTTTTTTTCCCTTCCTTCCTGAATCATTCAGTTTGAATTGTATTTCAATTGACCTTTTATTCCTTATCTCCTTCTTCTCATCATCAATTTTCTGGTGTCTTCACTCCGATCATGCACCTTCCCTTTTCCATACATATATATGATAGAAATGAATAAAAACCCTATAACCCAAGCACTTTTGAAAGGCGAACCTTTCTTCCTCAGGGATAGTCTGGAGGTACTCCGTCTGTTGAGCACTGGGACTACATCTCATATGTTCATCTCCCATTATCTGCTTTGAGTAGCTGTTTCCTCCTTGTCGGGGTACTGTCATCCACCTGTTGCCACCCTTCACTTTTTTGTGAGACTGTGACTGGGTAACTTAATTTTTAGTATCTATACCTCTTATTTTTCAGGAGTATGTCCCTCTTTTTCTTTATGGATCCTGCTCTGTGGTGAGTGGTGCCTGTCTAAGTACACATACACTAGTCAAATCTGCACTGTAAGGCCACGGTGACTTAACAATTACAATTTCCATCGTCAATAAATGCACACTGCTGAGATGGGGTGTTCCACAAAATCACTTGTAGGTTTATCCTCGGGATATGTTTACTTCATTAGTTTGCCTGTCCCAGACTGTACTCACCTATGGACTGCATGGGTAAAGCAGAAGGGGATAGCTGCCCATCCCTGCCATGCCTTTTATTGAATAAATCAGTATGGTCTGCTTTTAAAAATAGGGTTTTGTGGTCACCCATTGCACTGTCTCAGGTGTTGTCATTCCTCTGGACTCTCCACCATGCTTCCCCCCCCTTTTTCTTTTAGTGGAGTTTGGGAGTACTTACCACTTTTCAGTTCCAAGCCACTGGGGTGGTGGACCATGAAGGCTTCCTCCTGAATGAGATAATGAGAAACAAAATATAAACTAATCCATTCAGTTGAGAGTAGGTCGGTGGTGTTCTACTGGTGTAGACAATGAGTTGAACTCCATGTTACATACTCCTTGAGAGTGAGCCATCAAAATTGCAGTTCATCCCTTTGATTGAGATCCCTCATATTACCCCCATGAGGATGTTGGTTCCCAGTGGCTGTGGGTTTTGGATTTAAAGCTGAACCAATCAAAATAAATCCTCACACATGTATTACAGATGTCTTTATTCCCTCATTCAATTATACACTTGTTACTCCATCCGTGTTGTGGATCACTCTACACCTGGAGGCACATCCTTTTATTCTCACCCACATTTATGTATTATGGGATTCAGATTCATGTATCGTGTGGTTTGGATTCCTATCCAATCATAGTTCTCTCCCTATTGGATGTGCTACTCCCTGTTTCTGCCCATATCTGCGACACCTTTTTCCACACTGGGCGAAGAGTATACCTGGTACAGAAGTGGTGTGGTCTCCCACATATGATCTTTGACTCCAAAGATCTTCTCTTTGGGAGTGACCTTTGGATGCTTTCAAAGGATGTTTTTTTCTTTCCCTTGCACCGGTCCTTCCACCTGTTCAATGTGCGATTCTAGCTATTTATGTGAGTGGAGGTAATGTACCGTATCAGAAGTTATAATTTTCCTATAATGAAAATGTATTTCCTATAAGTGCTTACCTCTTCACACCCTTCCTTCCCACTGAAAACTGGTGCTTCCATTTTCTGCCAAAACTTGAAGTCATAGTTTGGTAGAATTGAATGGAGGGAGTCACATGCGTTAAGAGATTATGTCACACTAATATTGGTGGAGATTTGTTGCATGATGATTTGCAGTGTGAGATGCATTGGAATCAGTCAATTCCAGATGGGTGGGAGCTTCAAAGCTTGTGGCAGACTACTTTTTTCACAGTAAGGTAAGCATGATAACTAAGCCTGAGTATATAATGTGTAATTTTTTTATTTGAAAAGACAATTTGTATTTCAATCAGGATTTAAAGTCAGTATGGAAGATAAAAGTATTAAGTCAATCTTAATAGAAATAATCATATTGAGACAGTAGTTATTACACACACACAAATAGAGAAATATATATCACAGTCTCCTTATACATATTTTGGCAACTTGAATAACAATAAAACTTTTCTAGGTAATTCTAGGTCTGTGGAGAGTTAAGGTTTATACTAGCATTTGTTGGAGTTCATAACCTAATTAACATAACCCTGTTATTAGTCATGCCAGTGATGTGTATGCTATTGTTTGGATGAAATACATTATCTTTACAATGAAGTCAATAAAATACACACCCAGGTGAACTATTTGTTAGAGATTTCCTTATTTTTCTATATGAAATTAGTATGCCTCATCTCTTAAGCACTGAAACATGTGAACATGGAGCTTACAAAAAACAAAGCCACTGATGATATAGCATCGACTACTGCTTATAGTAATGAATTATTTGAGTGAATGTTAAGGAATAAGTTAATAATTTATTAAAATATTTTTTTCATTTTCTTTTTTTTTTACAATGTGGTTTTCTTGCCAGACAAAATGTCTGACAACTTATAAATTTTGTCAGTCATGTTCATATTTCTGTTGAGTATTGACTACTATTATTTTAAGCCCAGTAGATTAGTTGTTTTCTGTATTATCTGAAAGATGTAAATTACAGCTGGTTAAAGAACATATTGTTTGCCAAAACATAATGGAAACAGAGCAAAAACATGAAAACTTTAAAGGTCATATCTAGACATGTTTATAAGTGATGAATTGTGAAAATGCAGAATAGGTTCTGAAGAGTAGATATGATACATTAACAAAGGATCTTCTACTTCATGAGCTATAAATCTACCTAGCTAATCTAAAGTAAAAATAAAAAAGCCAACCTTGGGTGCTTTTAAATCTGTTACATGTCCCAAGTCATAGCTGGTATGTACACATAGTTATATGTATAATAGTGATGTTGGTAGTCCTTTGTGGTGATCATGATTCACCTGTTTGAGATGTTACTAGAAATTAAGGAATAATGTACTTATTAGGTTAGTAGAGAAATGATTCAGAGTATTTTTCTCATATTAATCAAACAATGTATGTTGTAAACAGTCCACTTCTTCACTATAATAGTAGAATCATCATTGAGTTTGTTTTTCAATTTTTATAGGGACTGTATTGCTGTGTGATGTAGAGAATTCTGATGTCTTGCACAAAATTGATGTTGCATCGAGTATATTGTGTATGGCGTGGGTGCAGAAGCATGAGCAGCATGAAAGAGAACAGCTGTGTTATACTGATAGATCCTATCAGTATCTTCCAAAGTTACCTTCTTTAACCAAAAGCTACTGCTCTGTAAGTAAAAATGCAGAAGATTCTGTTGAAGACAGCAAGAAACTAAGGAACCAAACAAATCTCAATATTCTATTAATTGGAACAATAACTGGAAATGTTTTACTAAATGCTTTTGGTGTTTATCCTTGTGGAAAGTTATTAGTAAAGTTTGAAGACAAACATCAAAATTATGTGCCCATAGTGTGTTGTAGTCTGTCAGAGGATTTCAGCATATTGTCAGTCATAGCAGGTCGTAAAATGGAAGATGAACAAACTGTTTACAGTTTACTGATCTACAGTGTTCCAATGCTTCAGCAGTACCATGAAGAACTACAAATTATTGCCTTAAAATATGGTCAGATAGCTTGTTTACGGAACTATTTATCATGCACAATTCAAGCAATTGAAGAAGCATGGGAAGATATTCTTCTGGAAATTGACTCTAAGTTGATGACCTATGCTGAAGAAAAACAAAGAGTATCCTCTGGAACAGTGAGTGATGGTTTTTTAGAACTGCTTATGTTTGGGACACCATCAGATGTATTAGAAAAATTCCTTTTGCATGATTTAACAGAATCAGGATTGAAAAAATTAGGTCATTCAATTGAGTTGTCTTACTCAAATATTCAAAAACTTGTGTTAAAGAATTTACAGTGTGTAGCACAAGCCATATACTATCATCTTAATGACATGAAAGGCATGGCTCTATGGGAGAGTAGATTTGGTGCTTTAGGATTGTCCATAGAAGTGGTGAAATTGGCTGTTATGAGCACTGGCTCATTCTTGATGAAAGCTACCGAGATCCAACAAGTAATTGATAATAGTATGAAAAAGTTCAAAGCTTTCTTCAGGTGGCTTTACACAGTTATATTGAGACTTTCTGATGAACCGATTCCACCTGAGATAACAAAGGTAACACAACAAGACTTGAACTTTGTTGCAGACTTTCTGAAAGAGAATTTTGCTAGTGAATGGGATCAAGAGAAAAAGTCTACCTTCAGTCTAGAGCGAGTAGGTCAATATCTTAAGATGGAAAAATTGACCTTCACCCAAAATTTGAAAGACAACCCCTGGATTACTTTTCTTGAGGCACATCCACAGTTTAATGAAAATGGCATGCTCTTTAACCATTATCCTGAAAAGTCCTTAGTTCAACAGCAAGTAGAGTTAGAGAAAGCAGTGGATGATGCATTTCAAGGACCATTTAATGTCATAGGTGACAGTTTTGTAATTAGTGAAAAAATATCATTATTCTCTTGTAAGACAGATTTTAACTTAAAAACTTCTTATGTGACAAACATAAAAACATCATCATTTTATATAGTGTTCATAGCAGATAAAGTCCCGAGTTCTTGTATGTACATTGTTCGAGAACCCCTTGGTGTGTCTTCATGTCTTGAAGCAGTTTGTGTTTGTTTTGGTGAAATTGGTAATGAATATACTGAATCTAATGAAGGCACCTCCACCATAGTAGAGTCTCCTAAGAAACACAGAATTCTTGATGTTCAGTTTTACAATGATGACATTTTATCAGTGTTACTGGTAGAAAATCAGGATGAGATTCCAGATCGAGGTATACCCATCCTTGTACAATTTCCACTGAAGAATGTTGCTCATGAATTTCAACCAATTGACACTCAAAAGAATGTAGACCTGGTAAGTGGGTTGAGAAGTATTATTGATGGAGCCAACTGCTTAGATAAGATGAATTATCGATATTTAGAAAGCATGCGAGCATTGCAGTTTGCCGTTAGTGGATCAAGAAAGGTCGCATGTGTGCTTTTTAGTTCCCGACGTAGAGTGAGGCTTTTTGAAATGGATGTTGAAGATGAAGAAGAAGACCAAGATGACACATGTCTAGATGAAAGTGCAACAAGAGAGTTTCCAGAAAGAGAAGAATCGGGCATAATAGCAACTAATGAAACCATTGGTGAGGATGATAAAGAAAATAGTTTTGATTAATGGTTATTTCATTTTGGAAATAAGATGTATACATGTATGTAAAGTTGAGTAAAAATTTCCTAATTGATTATTTTATTTGTTTATAAACTGATATAAAAGAAAAAAAATTAATGTTTAAGCAGTATAAAGTTTGCAAAAAAATAATACTTTTGACTTGTAGGAATTTTTTGAAACATAATAGCTTTATAGAAATTGCAACCACAAACTCCAGTGCTAAAAGTCTTCATTTAATTCAAACAATTTATATAGTTTTATATGTCATTGAGATATTGTAATGCTTTATGTACAGTCATAACCCCTTCAGTAGTAGTTATGTAAGAAGATGCTTACAGTTTTATTAGATAAAAACCAGTGGTAAGAACTGTAATCGTAAACTGAGCAAAACATTAGAATATAATAAGGCTACATGGGGTTTGATTATAGAATTGGGTTAATCTTTTAAATTAAAGTTGGTAAATCATACTGTACATCAGTGTTTCCTAAAGGGTGTATTGTAACACACTAGTCTGTGGCAAGTGAGCTGGTGGCATGCCACAGAAAATTGTACTTTTCTATTGCTAGTTTTAAATAAACAGTTTCAATGTGATAATCAAGTCATTTTACTTACCACTCTTCATTTCAGGCACTTGTACTTTCAATTTGCTATGAGTGATACATTTATTGGTGTGCCATATTTATTTTTAGTTCCAGGTCTACATGTTGGATACTTTATCAAAATGTAATGATTTATACTTAAAAAAAAAAAGAGCCATAATTGACATGCTGTGAGTCAGTAATAATGGTGATGGCTCATACTTTGAGCTTTTGTAATAGTAAACCTGTTTAACTTGATGAACTAACATTACTTAAGATATCTGTATTAGATACATTTTGAAAATAATTGTTTTTCTAGATTATTGACTTAATGAACCAGTGACAATGTATTACATTTGTTTGCCTTTTATTAAATGTATATTATCAGAATATATTTTGCTATCCATGGGGCTATTCTTAATAAAATAGCATAATTAACTATCACAGTTATAATGCTCCCCACAGCTGCATATCATGGCTGGAACCTACAATATTCTAATCCACAACCTCACCTGTTAACCATTTGGGTAAGTGCAGCACAATATAATTTTTTTGAAATTGGTTATTGTCTTTATATATATATATATATATATATACACACACACACACACACATATGACCAAAAATCAATCTCACAAAGTTGTCCTTTTAATGAAATGTGGGTTAATATCTGTAACTTTATTCAGGACAAATTCAGTTGATACAGAAAAGAAAATGATGGAAATTAGTATTAAATTGTAATCAAAGCAAGCTACCTACAGAGATCAGGACTAAAAAATCAATGAATAAAGCTAATTTAATATAATGTTCTCACTCATGTAGTATTTTCAGGTTAAAATTATATCCCTTTGAGCAACAAGATAGGTTCACAAAATAAAATATTTGAACAAGATATCTATTAATGGGTGATTATGGTTATCTGAGTAACCGAGTTCTTGATAAGGAAATAAGGATACTGGACACAATTGTACAAAAATACAATGAGCAATCTTTATTATTTGCAAATACAAACACAGAGTGTGTACTTACTTGATGCAACAGACAATCACTTTTATTGGATCAAAATTACTTTCCAAACTGCTTTGTTTGAGTCCTATTCCAGACAGACAAATTTTATGTTACTTATTTAAACAGCAGCATCAGATTTACCCAGATTGACTAATGCTTTCCACATAACTGGTTATTTTCATTCAAACATAAGGGAGTTTGTAGTCTTAGGACATCACCTGACCTACCATTGGAGGACACTGCTGTCAACATTCATGCAGACCAGGTGTTATCTCAAGAGAATGATGAAGAACAAAGGTAGTTAGAACAAAAGCAATTTAATGACTTTCTTGACCACATATTATGTGACAACTGCACATACCTACCTATAGTTAGAACAAGAAGTAGAAAATGCCTATATGCCATGATTAGAATGCATGGTTTCATCAACTGATTACCCTAACTATGTAAGGCAGTATTTCTTGATTTTTTAAAATTATTATTGTGTTCATATTCTATATGCTTTTTCCTCTATCACTTAGTTGAGGTGTCTCGAACCGTTTGTTGCATGATGCTAGCTCAACCACCTTAGGTAAACACTACTCTCACAGTGAAACAAAATGATTAATACTGGGTGGTACTGAGGTCTTTAACAAGGTAGCTACACTTTTGTAAATAGGTTGGTTGTCATATGTAAACAAGTGTTGCTATGTAAATAAGTTGATCAGATATTTAGTTAATACTTTTGTCTGGTAGGAAAAAAAACAAGTGGCTACATAACCCATAATGCTTGAGAATGTGTGGTATAGATTGGATATCGCTTTAAACAAGGTTAGAGCTTGTAAGTGTTGTATCAGTTTTTGTGATAATTTACTCGGGTTTTTTTTTTCAGTCTTTTTCCTGACATCTTATGTTGAAGTTATATTATTGAGTTAGAAGTTCTATCAGTTGTAAAAGTTTGGCATAGCATTTTCAAATTATGGGTGTATTCTTTTTAGCTTGTGAAAATTCTAATAAATACTCCCTTTTTTTATTTCATTTTTTTAAGAATCTTGGTTTTAACATTAACCTTTTGATTATTCTTAGTGCAAGTTAACAAATTTGTTACAACTGTTATCCTAATTAATACCATTAGGTTCAATCAGTTTGGGTTATATAGGTTAGTTCTAAATCCAAATACTAAGTAACAGTGCAAAATAATCCTTATAATAAAAAATATGTAATACCATGAAATAACACTTAAGAAAATCGAAATTACTTATTGGCACACATTTTTGTTCTCATAAAGAAGTGGAAATGTCAAACATACCTTTACCCTCTCTGGATGCCTTCATAACATGGTTAGACTTTTTTTTTATCACTTTGGAAATATCATTAAAAATCTATGAATGTGTGTAACAGATCTACATATTTTGGGGTTCAATACTTGATAGTTATCCATCAGTTCTGCTTACTCTCAAGAAATACCCAATATTTTGAACTTGCCAGGTGAATGATTAGAGAATTCAAAGAGGTCCATCTGCCATCTCAGATTGCCCAATAGAGGAAAAGATAATATAAAACTCTGCTAAATCCAAATGAGCATCCTTCGGGAAAATGTGTTTGAAGAATAGATGTGTATTTTAAGCATATTTTCCAATTAAAAATTTTAAGGTTTTATTTTTTTATATTACCGAATAAATGACATTGGGAACACACAGCATAAGCAAATACACAGTTTAATTCAAGAATTTCTCAAAGTATTGTGTTTATTAAAACATTTTTGTAATTATCAGTTGACCAAATGATTTTTGCTATCATTAAAAACAATGTAAAAAACTAGCACACATAAACTCAAGATGGAAGCTAAACTATTTTTCATTTTCCTATAACTGAACCATTGTTATGCAAAAACAGTTGCCTAAAATAGGCAAAATGTAGTTGAAAGAATATGATGCTTTTCATAATCAAAACTTGTATCAGAGAATTGAAAATATGTAAAAGCAGTCTAAGCTCATCAAGATTCCCAAAAAATAAATAAATATCTATATATATTTTATATCTAGCCTTTCTCAATAAAATGAGCACAAATTAAAAACCTTACTTTTGTAAACCAATTCATGTTATGGTAAGAGATTTATAAGGCTAAACATAATTCCAATTTTGCATTTGGATATTAACAGATTGAAAAATATCCACTTTTTCTCAAACTATTTTTGCCAAAATGATATCTTTACATGATAATACGTAAAACATTTTGGTATATATGCGTATTTATTCAAACAAAATAATGAAAACAGAGTAAACTGTAGTTTGCATACAGAGAAGAAAAAAAAGGATCTCTAATGAACTATGGCTTGTGGATTTATCTTCTCAGACTGCTGAAAATAGATGCTGGAAAACTCATCCTTGTATGCCATATAGACTTGTGAAAGCCAGCAGGGAGGAGTGTTGTGTTTCAGACATGTTAGCATTATGATGAAGCCTTTTGCAATTGAAACTATGCTGCAGGGCTATTGTCAAAATACTTGATTATCTGATAGAGCATGACCAGATGTGACAGCATGGACTGTAACAATGATGTGAGGGGTTCCAAAATCATTTTAATATAATTTATTCAACCTGACTATTACCTTATTTATAATCTTTGCATCAAATTACAGCCTTTCATAGATATTTTGAATTTCATTTTATTGAAATGGTGCAAAAACAAATATCCATGGTATTTTGATGGTGATCGAAATTTTCACCATCTTAGCACATTTTCTTCTAGCAGTTTCTATGGTCCTTCAGAAAGTTTCAATTACTAGAAACTTTCTCAACAGACCTTTCATTCTATTTTTAGTACATTTTTATGCTAAAATGATTTTAGGATTGTGTGCATCTTGTGGTACTTTTTATATGCCCTCTATGACATGTTATTGATTCTTAGAGGGTTATCTTTTTCATTACAGAAGTTTCAACTCTTCCTATAGATAGTATAAATCTGCCAAGCTGTCCCAAACTTGAACTTAATAACACATAAAATAACAGGCAGTATGATTGCAGTAATGTAAAAAAAAAAATACTTATTTTCATTTCTAATTTTTTGTGATTGTTTCTTCACACGCTATTCATGTGTGATGAAACTGTTAAAACTAGAAACAAACTAATATTGTTTTACTTAAATCCAGTTTCTTCAGAATTAGCTATGTACATGCAATCATAGTTTATTGAAAATCAATATTTTCTTGTAATTCTAAGAACTTATGAGTGAAAGTAAAGAAGAATATAAAAACGTATCAAACACACTATCTTCTATATCCAGTGCTGATTAGGCCATTTGCTCAATACCAGGGCTCAATGAGCTGGCTGGGATATGACAGTGGTCAAGATAACATTTATATAATCAGTTATATGAACAGCAACTGTTTTCGTATGAATTAGATTAAGTTGGTGAATTGTAATTTTTATCAATATTATTTAAATCCTTACACATCAGAATTAGGTTTATGATTTTTTTATTAACATCAAACTATTTATTCATTTCACTTGAATTAATGCTACTCTGATGAACCAGTAAGGTAGTCTGTTTCTTTTTAAAATTCTGGAGCAGGTCAAGTGCCCAAAGCATGAATGGTAGAAGCCTATTAGTAGGTATAAGAACTTCAGTGAAGTAAAGAAGAATGTAATAATATATCAACCACATATCTGTTATATCTAGTGCTAATGAGGCATTTTGCCCAATATCAAGGCTCCTCAGGCTAGCTGGGATATGACAGACAGAGTAGTAGTCAAAACTTGAACAACAACTGTTTCAGAGTGAGCTAGATTAAGCTGGTAAACTGTAATATCCTGTGCATGTCTAGAATTAATTTTTCATTTCCCAAGTTAAGTGTTCTTATGAAAATTAAACCGTAATCACTATTAACAAAAGTATGTTTTTAGGGTACTACTTTCCATCATTGCTGCTGTATCATTTCTGCCAAACAAGTAAAATTTATAAAGTATTTTTATTTGTGTTCCTGATTTTCATATTTGAAATGTTTGACCTAAGGTCTGTTAAATTGAGATGCCCATTATGTACAACATTCCCCTCTAAATTGTCTTTGTACTGAATGAGTTACAAAATCCACTGAATGTTACTTTGGCAAGCTTACACTTTAAGAGTCTTCTTACACTGAACTAATTCACTGCTATATGTCTACAATTGTCAAATGCACTGAAAAGAAAATATACTTCTGTCTTTATATTATTTTCTCTACAAATGCCAAGGTGACATACACTACACAGTTAGCAACTGACACAGAAAAATACAAGCTATGACTAGAGAGAAAGCAGTGAGCAGCATGGTTTGCAGCATATGCAAGTTTGCTGTGCAGCCATACATGTGCAAGGGTTAGAGAGAACTCTGGTCATTACCAGATGTTTTGGATTATCCAGGGCAAAAGATTTAGGTATGAACTCCCATTATTCTTGACATTTATAAAATATAAGGAAACATTTAAGAGTAAAGCATGCAAATAAATAAAAGTATGTAAAAATATTGAATCAATCTAGTTTTATTTTAATAATTGTTCCTAAATTCAATATTTCATACTCCAGAAAAAAGATAACACTATTTTGAAAATTCTGATTTACTCTCCAGTTTTATTTAAAGCATGTTTCTAACATCAGTACTTCAAAAGTTCTTGCTTTCAGGCAACTTGAGACAACATTTAACACACAATGAAAGGCAAGAGCTTACAAATACACTTGTTGGTAAGAGTTTATTACACAGAATGTGAAAATATCATTCTTTCTCAAATTTCTTTCTCATATGTCAAACAGTACTGCCTTTTGTTATACCTAAGTTCTTAGTCTCAATCCATTCTCATGTTAAGGCTGCAAAAACAACTGCTTCTTTTATTCTGCCTTAATATAATCATCAAATAAAGTACATTTTTACTGTTATACTGTTAAATATTTTGTTTCAATATAGTTAAATAGGAAATTTAATGATAACCTTATAAACAGCTCGTTTGGGTGACAGCAGGGAACTTTTTACATTCTTCTGGACAAAGTGCATATTCTTCCTTCCATTGATAAATATTCCTGGAAAAAGCTGTAAACACTGTTGAAAATGGTTAACTACTATGGGACAGTTTGCTTCCAAAACAGAATGAAAGTGTCAGACTAAGGCAGTCAAAGATTGTAACACTGTTGAAAATCTCTGTGCAAGATCAATTTTTTTTCCACCTACACCACTTCTGAATCCCTTTTCTCAAGAAGTCAAGTACAAAATCTAAAATATACAGAACAAAGACAACAAGTCTTTTTTTTTCAATTAGAAGCTTTCATCACTCTCCATAGCTTGAAGATGAATATCCTCTACATCCATTACAGAACTATCGTGTGATGAGTCATGATCTGCTGGGCCTGAACCAACACTGACTATATCATCTGATGCTGTAAGAAGACACAAGTTTCTTAGTAAAGTGTAATTTGATGTATAAAAACAATAACTTCAAATTAGTTATTTATATTACCTTAAAACACATTTGTAAACATGAATGAAACTATAAAAATTCATAATAAATCTTTAAGGGCTTATATGGTCACCTCTGTCATTATGTTCGTTCAAATTAAAATAAAAAACAATCATGTCACAAATCTAGTTTGCATATATGAAATGTGATAACCAAAGGACACCTGGGATGATCAGGCTATAGCAAAAATATCAAAACAGCTATAAGTTGATGTTTAATACAATACCTTTTAAATTATTTATTGAACAAAAAAACAATCCAACTTGCCTTGGAAGCATCAACAGCAGAAGACGTAAAGTTAGAAAACAGAAAAAGTATCACTAAGTTACAACAACAGCATCAGTTTTTAAGCTTTTTTCATACTTATTTTTTTATTATTGTAAACTTATTATTAAAAGGCTCTTGTGATCATTCAGTTTAATTTTTTTTCAATGATCTCTTTAAAATATATATACTACATATTCAAAACATGAATGTAAGTTATAAACATTCAAGTGTTGGCATATAGTATTGTGTCTGATTATTGAACATCATTTTAATTAATGAATTACAACTGCTGTTTCTTTTAAAGCAATTATAACTATGTATGAATTTGTTTTATTTGATGTAAACCCAATAAAAATCATTTGCGTTTCTGTTATTGAATTTGACTGCGATCTTTGGATCAAGGGACAGGATACTTATTCACTGAACTGAGCTACCATTCACTAAGTAAACTTTTCTTTTCCAGATTAGAAACAGATTATGTACCTTGGGAAAGAACTCTGCTATGTGGGAGTGGAATGTATTGATTTTTTTATGTACCTCGAGAATGAAGTTTTGTGCACATCAGTTTGGAACATAATGTTATACACAGAATTCTGATGATGTGCTGTCAGCACATTCTCAAAATGCACTCTAAAGTAAGAGATGGTGCTATGCTATACAAAATGTACCAACAGAAAAATGCAGTGTAATTTCAGGAATGCTGTCACCTAAAGATGCTGCTCAACTGAGACAATCCATTAACGAATTCTGTGTAGCTCTAAGTGAAAAATGAAGAACTGAAAGGAATGTGTCTATCACTGGAAAGAAGCTATGGATGCAAGCAAGAATGCTGGATCCTTTTCTGAAGTAAGCTCAGAGTTGTGAGTTTGAAAACTCCAAGGAAAGGTTTTCCCATGAGGAAGATGTAGCAAATGAAGATCTGCATCAGAATTCGCGTATTACATTGGAAAACCCTCTTCAAACAGTCCAGAACTCACAGCAGTAAAATTCTAGGAGGATGCCACACTAGACACCCAGCTCTGTCAGCAGTAGCATTAATTCTATTCTGCACTTGAACTGGAAGTGCAACAATAGTGTGTTCCTTCAGTAAGTTGTGCTACATTAAAAGATAAGACCACAGTAAAATGGCCCAAAATACAAAAACACCAAATGATGATATACATTACTGGACAAGGTGCCCGTTAATCGAGATTCTACTGTATTAATTACTAAGTTATACTTAATAAAATAGTAATAATGCAGCAACATCATATAGTGACTTAGTTTTAAAATAATGTATATCTTTTACTTCTCTCAATAGTTGGAATTTCATATAAGCAGAGAGATGTCAACAAATTTATAGGAGTTCAGTAAATCTCTATCCACAGTCTAAGAAGTACAGCTTGTTTACATGATATTCATAAAGTGCACAGCTGAATCCAAAGTCCTTCCAGAAAAAAAAGCAACTAACACTTGGATTTTTATTGGTTATAGTTAAAATTTAAAAATAAAAATCCACATATAAATGCAAACTAATTTTCTTTTAGTATTCAATTTTCAAAATCAAATAGTTTATTACATGGCTCATGATTTACTTGCCTAGAAATATGTTAATTATTTTTATACTTACTATGATATGGAAAAAGAGTTACATCAATGAAGTAGGTTGTCCAAGGATCCTTTTTGTCAAAATATCTCAAAAAATTTATAATGTTAAACTGCTTCATTGATATTACTTACAGGATCTGACCCAGGTTTAATTCAGGAAGAGTTAACAGTATATCAACCTTTTAAAAATGTCTGACAACTATTACAGTTACATATTAAATTTGTTAGTTATATTTAACTAGCAATATATTGCTTTATTGGAACGGTGTTATGAAATATTATGATTAACCTGAATTAGGTCATTTTAATTGACAAACTATTTCCTGGATTGAGCGTAAATTAAATTAAAATGCATATATATAAGTTTGTATATGTACATAGTATATTTTATGTTACTATGAAAATATCTTAATTCTACAAAACTTGCAATATGTATTGTTAATGACGAGTGCGAAGAGCTTTTACTCTCAAGTTTGTAAATAAATATGCATACAATTTATGTTTTGACTTTGTTAAAAAAAATCTTACTTGGATCTTGGGAGGCAACAACTTCATCTTCTTCGTTTGTGTATCTCTTGTCAATGGCTTCTTTGATTTGGTTATTAGCACCTTTAGGATCCAAATCCATTGCCCAGGAAAAGTTCATTAAGGCCAAATGTGTATTTCCTAATTTCTTGTGAACCTACAGGTGCATATTTTTCATAACATTAACAATAAAAGTGGAAAGATGTTATTCAGTGCTTAGTACCAATTAGAAGTGTGTTTATATTCTCATTATTATACATATTAATTATGACAACACAAGAAAATCACAATAAACACATTGTGATACATGTCAAATCAAAAAAATAAAGGAGGAGATTGTAAAGGAAATGAAGTACACAAGACAAATCACTTCACATAAATTCATATAATGTTCAACTAAATAATAATAAACAACTTATATAGGCTGATGTTGTTTGAAACTGAAAGTTCATTACAAGTTTTGTTGTCTAATTTCAGTTACCATATTTTATGCTGCATCACACTTGCACAAATTTACAATGATACAAGACAAAACTTTGAGTTGAAATTTGCAAGTGGATGGGAGAAGTACTGTACATTTATACACAAACATTAGTATAGAAATAAAAATATGTTCTTGAAATAGATCAGAATAATTTTTCTGTTTTGGTAAGAATTATTAAAACATTTTAAGATAACAAGGGTGCAAAATATATGTTAAAGTAAAATCCACATAAATATTTATTTAGGGGATTTAGCCTTTTACATATAAATGTAATTTTATGACCACATTTACTTGTGGCTTTAATACACCTGGTGATGGTACTGATTACCTTACGCTGTAAATAACCACATCTGAGGATATGTTGTATGCCTACTTATAACAAATCACAAATGAAAATTTTTACTAATATTTATTTACCTTCAGGACATGTTCTTTATCATTCTACTAACACATCTCTCATTAGAACCAAATTTTATACAAGTAAGTCACAGTAATACTTAATATATTGGGCTTTTAAATGAATTCAGAGTTAGCAATTATTTACTAAACAAAATATATTACCACCAGATCAACAAATTACATAATATGTTCTTTACATGTTATGCAGGGAATAAACTGAACATAGTCAGCAAATGAAAAACAACCAAACACAACTGAAAAATATGACAAAATTTTTATTCACAAGACTTGTTTGTGTATTTACTTCACTTACTGGCCAGTTTCTAAGTTTTGTTCAATGACTACAATTAGCTACTAGGGCTAAAGAAGGACTTCTTAACAGAAGAAAAGAACACAACATGAAGTAAAGCAAAATAATGAATTTTGAATTTTAACAAAGGAGTCCTAGTGTGGTACCCTATAATCCTTAGATTACCTATGTCAATGACTATTCCCAATAACATATATTAGGCAGAGAGCCCCAACTCATAATGACTTGTACAAATATCTGTATTACCCCTTGAGTCGATTTGTACATGTTTGCAACCTTTTAAACATCTGGTTTACAAGGATTCCATTAATTACATGCAAAACACCTAAATAAATTTAGAAAAATTACCCAAGTATACTTACTAATAAGATATATCTTGAACTAGTTATGGAAAGGTGAAGTTAATAGTTATTTCAATCATGATATTCGCATATATTTATCATTTAATTAATCCATAATTCACAAACTACTAATCAAGTGGAAACTTTTAGCTTTATTAAGGCAAAATCACAATACACTAAGCTGTTGACCTTAAACTGCTCTGCAATGGCTCCCTGATGTGTCAACCTCCAAGTTTGTGAATGTCTGCAGCAACATCACGGTTCAAGGATGGCAAAAACTAGAATTCTTAAGAGTATTTGTCACTATCTTAATAGAGAATAAGTCACCACAAGTGACCAAGAAGCTCTGCAACCTCATTGTATAACCTTTATAAATCTCAGATGAAGAAGTGCTGGAGAACATTTTCTGCATTCTCTTGCTATAATGTTTTCCAGTCAAACCATCCACCATATCTGGTAGGTAAGATAGATGTGAAAATTGTCTGTGACGGTTCTACAGGATTGAGGCCTGTACAAAAAACTAGCTAGTTCATTCCTACAACACTCTTCAAGAAAGAAAAACGTGAGAACACAGGCATAGTGGGGATGAGCATAATAGTTTATCAAAACTGAATCAAGCCCAAATAATTCAGTGAAAGGCCTGATAATAATTTAAATACCAGTACATTCATTGCAGAAGATACTACCACACCATAAAGTAGACATTATGTTCAGTTGTTATGTAGTTGGTATTGCAGTAACATTGTAGAAATGTGTTAGCTCATTCAGGTGGATATACTTATTATTTCAAGATGGGCATAATCATTCTTAAATTTTTTTCTTTTATAATTCTATGTCAGGAGTTCTGCAGATACTATCAAACTATAAAGGGAGTTGAGTACTGGATGACAATCCCAAGGATTGAGCCAAGAAGGACTGCCACTCATGTGAAAAGTGGCTGCCTCCCAGGAGGTAGAAGAGTTCTTTACTGATATTACCAGTGGCCTTTTAGCTGATTATTGTCCTACTGTTTCCTCACCTTTCAGTTTTCCTAACTACATCATATACTATTTTGTTTTCCAATAATCTCATTCCTTCTGGTTGCCACTTCCAGCTTACTAGTGCAGAGGAGATCAGTATCCTGCCAGGGTTGTGCTAGGTTTGATAAAAGGCTTCTCCTGTAAGCTTGTTAGCTTTGCATCTGCATTGCCTGGCCCATACATCCAGGTGATGGTCTTACAGTACAGTTGCTTTGTTTTCTATCATCCATCTTAAAACCAACCACACTGAATATTACACAGAACTGTGATAAATGTTTTTTTTTGTCTGCTTGTTGTCAAATGCAGAGCTATATAATGGATTATTTCTGCTGTGCTCACCACTGTACCAAAATTCAGTTTTTAGCATTATAAGGTTTCAGACTTAGCAGTAATAAACAGAAACATTAAATTAAGCTGAAAAACTTTGAATTAATCAAATATAAAGATGAGAAGTCTCAACGGCAATATTTTGACTAATCAATTATTATACGTGATACTAATCAATGTAATTGATGCTTATAGGTAATCAATTATGTTGATTGAGTTAATAACCCAGCTCTACTACTGTGGACAGTCTTATACAGGTGTTTTGTATCTCTTCAATCTTATCTAATCTAGCTGTGTAGTACTCATACTGATCATCATTATTGCACAACCCAGGATGGAGCAGATAATACTTTAGTAAAATATCAGAAGTGGATGTTCTTCAGCTCTATTTTCTGCTTTAACTTTCAGTACATTGATGCCATTAGTAGCTGTGTTAACATGGCTGGTGAAGTTGAGTTGTTTGTCGGAGGTTGCCCCCAGGTACTTAAGTGTTTCTTCCAGAAGCATAGCAGTGCCTATAAAAGATGGTGATGATTTTTCCTCATCAGGATATTTTTTATTGAGTGTGCAGAACATGGCTGTGGCTTTGGCAGGATTGATGACCATTACTGTGTCATTGCATTGTTTGCTTACCTTGATAAGGGGTGATTGCATGTTACTTTTCTATTTCAGCTTTGCTAGAGCCTCTGTTGTACACCATAATGTCATTAGCAAAGGTTAGCACATAGCATCTGTTTGGACTGTCAAGGCAGGCAAGATCCATGCTGCAGATGTTGAAGAGGACTGGTGAGAGTGTTGATCATCGAGGCAGATTAGTACTTATGTTGATCCAGCTTGATCACCCAGCCTCTATGCTTTATGATGCATTTTCTGGTAGTTAGTGTAACTACAACCCATCCTGCACATGTTACACTAATGCCTATTCTAAGAATTTTGTCTACAACTGGACTCAACTGTAAGCATCTTCCTCATCTATAGCTACTGCCCAGGTGTTCTGACCAGTTTTAAAACTTTCCCATGTATCAGCTATGAATTCAGCAATACTGATCCAGGTTTCTCTTCCACTGTGATAACTACCTAATGGTAGAAGAGGTTCAATTTGATAAGCAAGTCTTCTAGCTACAACCTTCTCTGGGAACTTGCCAATGGTGTTTTGTAGGACGGTGCTTCAATGACCTTTAAGATGAGAGTGGTCCTTTACAGGTTTGGGTTAGGACTTGATAAAAGCAACAGTCCATATTTCAGGGGTGCTACCTACTACCTAGCTATGTTGCTACTCTAACACTAACTTAACCAGGTTGGCTTCTGTAGGCTCCATAAAGTTGAAGATTCTTAAACCAACTGGAACTTCATCTTTAGAAGTATTTATGGCTCTGTGTATCTTTTAAAACCAAAAGATGGCTTCTATATCTGCATGTAGTTGTAGCTTGAGGCATCTCCAGCATGTCACCATGGCCACATTGGTTAATGGATCTGCACATGAAAGCTTTGAGATACTGCCATCATCACTTGAGGTGAAATATTTCAGGAAGCTTTTATAATGCAATTTTATAGTGTTATGATGTGTCCTTAATCCTTAAGTGCTAAAATAATCCACTGGGCTTCAGACACTCATAGTGAAAATAATTAAATTGTACAAAATGTAGTATACAATTTCTAAATGGTATCTACTTTTGTGAAAATACATAAGTGAGGATTTAGTATTTCTATAATTTTTAGGTTGTGAAATTTCAGAAATGGTTCTTGTAAAATATGGTTTTGAAAGAACAATAAAAATACTTTCTCTCATTCTTAGACTTTTTATTTTTTTAATGTTGATCAGAAAGTTTCATTATATATATCAACGAGTTTAACCTCACCTTTCAAAATGGCAATGCCATTAACTCTGTCAGGTTTCATAGTGATATTTTGCTAACAACATATTACTTTATTGAGACCTAATAAAACATTTTTTTTTTCAATGCATAAAGTTATTGTATTTATGTGTGGTTTAAATATAATAAAATTAATATATTAAATAGAAAAAAGATTTGTATTATCCGAATAGATTGCCTTCAGAGGCCTTAACTTACTGTATTCATTAAACTTAAATATTCTTACCTGACATCATAACAGAATATTCCTATAACTTTCAAAAACACATAACACAGAAACATTATCAGGAATGAAAAGAACATCATCAGAAGCTATAAAAATATTCCAGGCCTCTAATTAGTTAAAAATATGTCTAAACTTCATTAAAACTCTCTAAATCTCTGATTGAGATCATGAGCTTGTTTACTCTATCTGAGATTACTTTGTCTTGGAACTTTTTTTTTTTACATCTGGATGACACTATGGTTTCAGCAATATACTTCAAAAATACCATTTGTTTTATAAAATTAGATGGTTAATACGAGGTATTATTATGATTTTCAAAGTATAAAAAACATAACCTTAAACAGAGTGAAATCATGTGTTGCAGCCTTTACTACCAATAAGACATCATATTAGTGTGATATTAGGCCCAGATTGTTATTATTCTGATTATTATGGCTTTAAGCTGTATCCTCATTTCAAAGCAGAGAACAATTTAAAGTTCTCAAGATCTCCATGGATGGTAATTGTAAATGTAAGTTCAACCAATAAATTCATAATTGAACAAACAAAAGGCAAAGAAACTTAAATCTTAACCCAATCAAAAATGTGGAAATTTGATTGGGAGAAATAAATAGAAGCTTATAAGATACAGAAAATAAAAAAAACAGCTAGAAGAGTGACATTCATGGTTCAGATATCCAGAGATACAACAGAAAGTTTAAACAATTTATCTAATTTTTTATTTAAGATACAGACTAGATAAGCAATATATAATGTTAAAATACCAATTCTAAAGTATCTTTGAGAAACTAATTATTGAAATAGGATTAGAACTTTATTTTTTAATTAAATCTGAAAGATGAGTTGAGAGAGTGCACTCAGAGTAACCTGTATATCCATTGGTCCAGAAAGGGTTAAGAAAACAACAGAGCACACTTTCAGTATTAGTTTTTGACTTAAACTAATAGCTGTTTTAAATGTGAAATAATTTGTTAATCCCTCATTGATTTTGGTTTAGTACATTTCTAATGTCCTTTTACTTTAAATTTTGTTCACAAAGTGTTTGCCTAAAAAAGGCCAAAAATAACTGTTGTTAAAAGGAACTGTTCTAATAACAATGCTGAATCTAATTCTGACTCAACATGTATAGTTCATCATAGTGTTACAGGTTATAACATTTCTGATGGGTATGATCTTGTAGGTTGAAACATTTTCATGGAAGGCACCAAGAGTAAACAAGGGTATGTCTACATAATTAATACTTGAAACTGTCAGTACTTGGTGAAAATCCATAATTATGGAACTGATGAAAACAAAGACGACTGTATATTTCACAAATATTTCATTTATTATGACCATGGTTTCGTCAAGCCTGATGACACATTTACTGGTAAAACAATGGTCCTAACAAATGAAATAATTGTAAAACGTACAACTGTCTTTGTTTTCATCAGTTCCATAAAGGTATATCTTATTACTACCTTTTGCTAAACCTGATATTTTTTCCTTAAACATTTTTGAAAACATACCTTTCCTATAAGAAAATATACAAGAGATTCCTTTGGAACCAACTGTTTTATCTCCTCTAGCTCACTCAATGCCTCTTGATGACGATCAAGTGAAAAATAGATAGACGCTCTATGAAACTTGCACAGTGGATTTTTGGGATCCATGGTTACAGCTTTGTTCAAAGTGGCTAAAGATGAGTCCATTTTTTTCAAAGCATGTTGAACCTACACAAAAAATTATAGGGAAATAAAATATATTAACAATGGTTATAAGTTTTATCAAACCAAAAAAGTGGTGACAGTTAAGAATTCTGAAAGTTAGTCTTGGGCATACACATATTTAAAAGTTTTAAATTTAGGTAAAAAAACAAAACAGATTATAAAGCTCTTTTACGAAACATTTATTGTTATTCAATAAATGTAATAAAACTTTACAGTTAGTAAAAAACCCAATAAAACTTTCTCCATATCTGTTTAGATTGACTTACTAAAATTTGATTTCCAGATGGAAGTTTATGCATACAATACAAAATAATAACAATTTCTTTTAAGTAGAAAAATTGTGATTAAAACCTACATAGTATAGCATAATGGAAAATCTGCAAGCAGCTGTAAAAACTTTTTAGTAAAGAAGCGACGACAGTTACTATGAAAGCAGTCTACTGGATGGAAATAGAAGGTATCCAATTGGGTAAAGAAGTTGACTCACTATATGTTGATTCCCCATATAGCTCATGGTTATCAATTATTTTCACATGTGACTTCGATAGTTAGAATAATAGCAAACAGTAATAAATAGTTTATTTGTTGTTAAGCACAAAGCTACACAAATGGGCTATCTGTACTGTGTACACCACAGGTATTGAAAACTGTTTTTTAGAATTACATGTCTTCAGATTTACTGCTGAGCCACTAGTGGGCAAAGTGAAGTCATCTGTAGTGAGTTAAAAAATAAGAGGGCATATCAAAAGTACATTTTTTTTTCTAGAATGACTGCAGGTTGTAACAGATAATTACATTTATTTATCCTAACAATTTCAGGACTCATACCTTTTCATAAATGCTTTCATTTAATTTCATTGTTTTAGTGCTCTATAAACTGTCTAATTATGAAATTAGTGTAACAAGCCAATAAATCACCTGACAAGAGCACAGCTCATGTTATGATAAAAAAAGTAAAGAATGAGCAGTTTGCATGGATAGCTAATGGAAAATATTTTTATTCAAATTTTATTATCTAACCTAATAGAGTTTCTATTTGTATATTTCTGTTACTTTTATAACAATAAATAAAACATAAACACAAAAACAAGAAATTTAGTACTTACACGTCAGTTCTTGCACTCAGTCACAATATCTTATTGATACTGAACCATATTTTATGGTAAAGTTATTCATAGTATTTAAATTTTTTTTTCAATTCAAATAATCGACTTAAGTTATAAAATATCAACATGCAACAAAAAAGTCATAAAACTATTATATTTTATCTAGCTAAGCTATAAGTGCATTTAAATAATTCCTTTACTTGGTTGAGGTGATCATGGCAATAGCAATGACAGTACAGGGCAAATAATTAAAAAAAAAACTGTTATCAGATTGAGCTAGCCTCATATAAAATCAGTAAAATTATTTATTTATAAATTGTTTATAAATAATCTGACAGCCAATGTCAGGGAGAATTATGGACATTTTTTGAAAGATAGTACATAATAGGAAGGTGTGGCATGCAGATTTAACTTTCTGGTTTTCATATCTCAGTAAAGCAAGAGGATTGTAGGCAAAAAGTTAATACTATGTCTCATCAATATTTATACTTTAAGGGTATAATTTATGCCAAACTCACGAGACCATATAAAAGTAGAAAGAAAAACACTAAAATGTGTAATTTGTAATGAAGTAGCATCACGTGATATAGAGAAGTGAAGCTTGATAACTTATATAAATATTTCACTTTGAAATTAAAACATATACAATATTAAAATTTGAATTATAAACTACATTTTGAATGCAACTCTGTAAAAGGTTGTGATATGTGCACTCTGATCTCCACCTATGCACATAGGGTTAAGAGTAGTGAGAATGAATGGTTAAATGTATCACTTCTGTACTAAGTGAAACAGATTTTCAAAAAAAGAAAGCAGTATCTCTTACAACTTCTTCCGTTTCTTAACATGGTCATATGGTGTATCAATATACTAATTCATATATGATATAAAATACTAAGCCAATAACAGTGTCATTTTTATAGATTTGTAAATAAACAAAATGAGAATTTGCAAAGATATATCTTCTTAACTAAAACTTTAAAAGTTTAATGAAGACACTTCATACTATTCCTATGTGACACATCAAGACTGAACTCTGTGGATGAATAGCAAGAGCCCGATTGAAATGGACTTCAGCTAGTCGAAACTTCTCTTGCTTGTAGTAGATCATTCCAACTCCGTACCTGAAAAATAGCAATAAGATTTATAAAGTTACTAAATACTATTTCTGAAAATTTAACAATGGTTTAAGATGAGCATAATGTTTTAAGTCTTCACTTAAATGATTTTGAAATACAAATATATTAGAAAAAGAAAGGTTTCATTTATGAAAACAAAACACAATGTATGAATTATAATATTAATAAACTCTTTTAAACAATTTTAGTTAAGCAAAATGAGTATTATAACTAAGTTTCTTCTTCAACAATAAAACACTTAAATTTAAAGTAATGAGCAATCCATAGATTATGATTTGAATCTTGGAATATTCACAAATGTCATTAGTTTAGCTTTGATGACTAAAGAATTAAACAGCAAATATAATTTAACTTTTTGTTTATAAAATTACACTTCAACAAAAAGAAAAAGCAAATAATCACTTTTCATTTCTTCAAAATGTTAAAAATATTTTTTATAAATACATTAATGAATATTAACCCTTAAAACAGTTTTATGATGATGTACATAGTCTTAATTGTCTGCTGTAGTTTCTTTGTATCATTGTAATGTTGTTCTTTCATTGAGTGAGTTCTTTCAAATCAGTTGGTGAAAATAATGAAAAAAGTCTAGTCCAGATTTCCAGTAAATGTAATAAAAAAGAAATTAGTTTATTTCATTCTTAATGTTTGCCACAGACTACTAATACTATCTCTTGTCCACAGTTGTACTTGTAGGCCTAATTTTACCAATAATATTTCCACTTTCAACTGAAACTTACTAGCTAATGGTGCTATGACTTACATATGAATAAATCTACTTGCACAATTTCATAGCTAATTGATCAAGTAACTGAATATATGTGATAACTAACACTGTTTTTACGAACACTTTACTTTGACTGGCATTCTACTCACAGAAAATTGACTCAATGCTTCACTGATTTTTATATTTATAACATATACTTACTTGTTCTAGATATTTTGCAAAGTCTCTTGATTACCAACGTTCACAAATATCCTAGGTATTCTGGAACTACTTTTATAAACTTACTTGATATTAATGTCACTCACCCTCTAGCTAACATCTACATTAAAATGCTGAAACACAGCTTACAAGAATATGAACTATTACGATCTATCTGATGAACAAAAATGCTAACTAACAAACTTGACAGTCAACATGACAGAAGATTCTTATCCAATTTATTTTGGTCAGTAGCATGAATACACTAAAAGATGAAAACAATCTGTGATCAAAACACACACACACTACATAATACAGTAGTGCCTCATTATAATGCCATTGGTTATAATGCTTTCTCCGATATAATGCTGTGGCACCTTGGCTCTCAAAAATGTGTAAAAATTTAGTATAATCTGCTGTTTATCTCATTGCCATATGGCTTCATGAACTAAAGTCATTACAATCTGTCACAAAATAAATGGAAAAAGCAGTAAGTCCCAAGTGCAAAGCCCAGAGATGTAAATATCAAGTTCACTTGATATTGGGATGTTGGTAATTAAGGTAAGAAAGGAATTTGTAAATGTGACTCAATTACTAAAATAGCAAGAAAGTGTCATCAATACAGCATTTGTAAAGGACAGGTTTAAAGTCACATGGTAGTTTTCTAGCCACTTGCATTCACAGTAACATAAACTATTGACTGTTGTTGAGCCCAGCGAGGATTCCATGTATCTGGTCATAAATGATGTCATTAAAGAGGAAAGAGGGCAAGAAGTTCCAAGAATTGTTTACAGGTGAAACCAAGATACTAATCAGTGTCAGAAGGAAACAGAGATTTCAAGTTGTTAATTGCAACATGTTTGGAGTAGCATTAAGCCTGCTCACTTTGGGCACAATTTTAATTATCCAATGAAAATGCTGATAGTTTTTAAGATGACTGTTTTAGCCAATCATATCTTTCTCCTGTAAACCATCTATCTCAAACATATAAATATAAGATAACCAGCTCATTATGCATTCTTAGAATTTTCATCGAAAACAGATAATGCACATTTTATAAAAAATCAAAACGTCCCTACTTACCCGCATGTCACCGGTATCAAGGAATAGGAGAAAGCCTATCCAGGAATTATGATGCATATGCAAAATGTTCTACATTACGTTCAAAAAGAGGATCAAAACCAAATGAAGCAGACTAATGTATCACACTTTTTTTAAGTGAATGTGCTTTGTTTCTGAAATATCCAAAAGTTTGTATTCATATTTTATCTTATGTTATTGTATCATATCTTTGTTCTTATTATATCTATTCTTCCTATGTAAATAAACAGTTATTTTATTTAATTGATTGCTTTAGTAGTCTGTTGAATTTGTACTTGTTCAGCACGAGTGCCTTCTTGACTAGTTGGTTATAATGGTCCCTCACCTATATTGCTCTCAGGTGGGGGAAGTGTTCCAGATGATAGTGTTATAATGAGGTAGTACTGTACAGTACACAACAAGGATAAAAAAAAATTCTAACATTAAAGTATCTCTGACTATCTCTTGACATTTATGATATGATAATTTTATTTTCTGTAATTCCAGTTCCACCTGCAAAACTTTCACTATATATGAATAAAACACTTATTTTTACCATTAACTTATACATAAAATTCACTCAACTTGTGAGTACCTTATTTTCATAAGGCTGTATCAAGACACGATTAGATTACAGGAATCCTACATTCTTTCAAATCCTGGTTTCTTTAAAAATATTCATAATTATTCTGAAGCTTTGATTATTAACATGATATATACATAAAAATATGTATATACTATTCATAAATTTATTTCCACACACATTTTCTTTATAAAATTACTATATTTCACTACTATTATAAGTTATACATTACTTTCAAAGGCCTATGTTTTGTAACAGCATAAAACCACTTAAAAGAATCTAAAACAACACTCAGTTCTGAGAAAAACTATATGGCTGTGATGACTCACTGGTGTTTGTTGTATAATTACAAGTACAAAATGTTTCATTACAAAAAGTTTTGTTTTGGATATTTGTGCAAAGGTACACAAGGGTTATCTGCACTATCCATCCCTAATTTTGAACTGTTACAATAGAGGGAAGGCAGTTAGTCAACAGCATTGACCTCCAATTCCTATAGGCTACTCTAAATAAAGAGTGGGATTTGACCATTGTTTTTATAATGTACTCACAGTCTCAGAGTGTGGAGCTTTATTTTGCAGCAATAGGAAACAAACCATGGACCTTTGGATCCACAGTTCAGCACAATAACATCTGGGCCACACCCAACCCACACAAGCTAACAGCATGAAAACAAGTCAACAAAAATGTCAGTGAGTATTAATTGTGGTACTTAATTTAGTATTCTAAATTCAATATATTAAGATGATATTGACATTTTTTTAATTGATATAAAAATTACCAAATGTTTCAGAATTACTATGCTACATATATCATGAACATTTAAACAAATGAACAAATCATATTACCTCTTATTTAATGTATTATTCATAATGAAAGAAAATTGTAATATAAGAGTAACAAATAGAGTCCATACTTTTTTATAGTATTAAATGTTTTGCACCAAATGATATCTGTTCATTCCACACAGGCTAAGTCTTCTTATAAAAGAAAACTGAATTTCTTCATCTAATGTTTCTGCATTACTATGCTACATGTATCGTGAACATTTAAACACATGAACCAATCATACTGCTTCTTATTTAATATAATAATAAAGAAAACTTAATAAACCAGTTAAGACACAATCATGTTTTGTGATTTTTTTGCAACCACTGTAAGTTCAAGCTGCTACAATCAGAGAAGGTATTTGTATTCTATATCTTACATGTTACTGCACAGTGTTGAACTCCCTTTTATGTCAAGTGTTCTTGAAAAGCATTTTCTTATTTAAGAAAATGAAGGCATCAAAGTTTCAAATTAATGAAAGGCAATTATAAAAATTGAATGATATTTTGAAAAACTGCTAACTTAAAAAAGAAACAGGTCCAGCCAATGCATTTGAAATATTGGCAAATAATTTCATACTATGTCACTAGTGGCTATTAAAGGCATACATTCCTATTGGTAACAATGAACCTGTTTTTTACATTTCTGGGCACTATTTGAATTGCTGATGATTTGTTGTTTGAATTCTTATATTACAACTGGAGAAATTCAAACAACAACATATGATTTCAGTTCTAAATGAATCAAAATATCAACCTATTGTTCAGAAAATATATGAGTAAAATGGGAAAGTTTTAACATTTTAAATTAAGATATGTTTTACTATTTAAAAAATTTAAGATTTCACAAAGATCACCACAATTTTACTGCTCTCGACCTCTTCAGTTGTTCATACCCACCAAGCATTATAGTGACGTGGATCGATGCGTATGGCACTCCTAAAGCAAGCCATTGCTCTATCCATTTCTTCTGTCAGAACATGTTCATGTCCCAGAAGTGTGTAGGCATAGGCAAAATCGGGATCTACTTGTGTAGCTCGTTGAAGAAATTTAATAGCTGTTTCATGTTCTTTTTGTAGACTAAAGCAGTTACCTGCTGTACACCAAGCCTGTGGATAAATAACATGAGATTTAGATATGTAAGTAAACCTGATACTTATTCAAGCAATGGAAACTTACATATACATAAAAATATTTGTTCAAAATAATGGACAGTAATTCAACTATTCCAAATAGTAGTCAAGATATAAAAGAATAATTTGGATGAAATATGATGCCTTTCCCATTCAAGCAATGAAAACTTACATATACATAAAAATATTTGTTCAAAATAATGGACAGTAATTAAACTATTCCAAATAGAAGTCAAGATATAAAAGAATAATTTGGATGAAATATGATGCCTTTCCCATTCAAGTAATGAAAACTTACATAAAAATATTTGTTCAAAATAATGGACAGTAATTCAACTATTCCAAATAGAAGTCAAGATATAAAAGAATAAATTGGATGAAATATGATGCCTTTCCCATTCAAGTAATGAAAACTTACATATACATAAAAATATTTGTTCAAAATAATGGACAGTAATTCAACTATTCCAAATAGTAGTCAAGATATAAAAGAATAATTTGGATGAAATATGATGCCTTTCCCACAAAAATCTCACATTCTCATTAAAAAAATCCTTTTATTGCTAATTAGTCAGAAGCTATGTGAAGTTAACCTATGTGAAATTAATATTGCACATTCGAGACTTCCACAAAATACTGCATTAATTTGAGAGTTATACAAAGGTTAGTATTCAATATTTCCCCACAACTGTTAAATATCTTCATGTTCATATAACTTATCTGAACAAATGAGACAAGTTGTTCCATCATGCAAAGCTGGCAGTTTTTAATAACACTAAAGTATTTTACCAATATGATTATTTTAATGTCAGTATTCAAATAAAAATAGCAATTATGAACCAATATCTGTTACCCTGAAAATACAGCACAAAAACTAGGAACATTTATATAATCTATCCAGAATTGCCATGAAAGAAAAGTGTCTTTATAAATGTTTCAAGTTTAGAGAGATTATATCAGAAATAATTTACATGAGAAGCTATGTCAAAAAAAGTGTACAAACAAGGAGTGGTTATTGCAAGTTTAGAAAGTAAAGATGGAAGATTAGCTTCCTTATCTTCAGATTTTTACATCACACTGTAGCCATAATGTATTGTTTAATGTCTAACAGAATAAGCAATGACCCCCAAAACAATTAGATAACTGCAATTACTCAATAAAATATACATAGAAAGACATATGACTGTGATAGATTTTTATAAAAGCCTCAAATGAACAGTCTTATGTTCAAGTAAGGACAGTTTGTTTGTTTTGAATTTCGTGCAAAACTACACGAAGGCTATCTGCATTAGCCATACCTAATTTAGCAGTGAAAGACTAGAGGGAAGGCAGCTAGTCATCACCACCCACTGTCAACTCTTGGCCTACTCTTTTACCAAGAATAGTGGGATTGATTGTCACATTATAATGCCCCCATGGCTGAAAGGGTGAGCATATTTGGTGGGATGGGGATTCAAACCCGTGACCCTCAGATTGCGAGTTGAGTACCCTAACCACCTGGCTATGCCGGGCCAAGTAAGGACAGAGAAAGAAAGCCAACATTTTAAATCAGTTACATACATGTAGTATGCCAAAAAAAAATTCCAGTTGAGCATATCTTTACAACAAAAACTAGTGTTCAATTTAATAAATTTGAGTTAGATGGTAACAGATATCTAACAGAATAAGCAATGAACCCCAAAACAATCAGATACCAGCAATTACTCAATAATATATACAAAGACACATTAGTGTGATAAATTTTTATAAAAGCCTCAAATTAACAGTCTTATGTTCAAGTAAGGACAGAGAGAAAGAAGGCTAACATTTTAAATGAGTTGCATACATGTGGTATGCCAAAAAACATTTCCCAATGAGTACATAGGTACAACAAAAACTACAGTGTTCAATTTAATAACCTTGAGGTAAAGTATTACACTTATACAGTGATAAAATGTTTTAGTAAAAAATTACCCATCATCTCTCATTTAAGTGGCAATTCACAACTCTATCCTAAAAGTTGTGCAAATAATCAAGTTTTACAGCTACATAGCCCTCAGGATAGTAGCAATAGTTTTACTAGGTACTAAGCTTTCCCAGGAGTTTTTATTTCCCCAAGGACAAGGACTTAGAAACTTAATGTAAGACTCACTTAAGAATCATCAATTGAACACTGGGAACAACCCTTCTAATTCAAATAATTAGACATGATGAAGGTTATGAGATACATGCCTTCTAGGAAAAAATCCTCCATCTAAATTCTTACACACAATGATGAATGAAGACAGTGCTAGGTAATTAACTGATGGAATTTAACTTGAAACACATTGACATATACTACCATTCAAAGTTTCATAAGCAGGCATATTTTTATAGGTAAAGTAAAAAATAATCACAAAATCAAATTATGGGTTATAATAGAGGGTTGAGAACATTATATTAAAATGATTTTAGAGCCTCATTATGTCATTATGTTCTGTCAGGGTAGATCTGACAACCATGCACCTTGATAATAGTCCTACAGTGCAATTGTCATTGAAAAAAAGACCTTCATAAGACTTTCATTGTCTTGTCCAAAGTATACTTTCCATAATGTATCTAATGTATGACAGCAAGTTTTTCAGTGCCTGTTCCAACAGCCCAATTATATAGAAATCCATAGGCAGTGTGCCAAATGACTTGACTACTATGTCTTTTTACATTACTGGAGATGTGAATGGCTTTTGCCACTGACACTGTGTTTGTGAATTCTCTCCTGTTGTAACACAGCACTTTGCTTACCTCGGGGAGGAAGGGGATACAACTTGTTACAAGTCTTTTTCTGGATGGTCCTGGTACCTCAAGATGGTCCATATTCCTTTGTTCTAAAATTCCATCAAGTTTACAGGATATCTACATCTTAAAAATTCTAAATCCCCAAACTGAATACAGCTTTACAATGAGTGTGTATCAATATTTTGTATCAGAAGGGGCTGTTACATACTCTGCCCAAAAAGTGATCAATTTGTGGTGGCATCACACTACCTACAAAATGCCGAACAATGTTAAAATATAGTTGTAATACATACAATTCCACCACAACTTTATATTGACTGATTTATATATTGAAAATCATTTTAGTATAATGTATGGATCGGCCAAGATAAAAACTTACCCTGGTTTCTAGAATAAGGAATATTTGCAAATACATAAGTTGGAAAAACAAGGATTTAGACTGAACAAAAAAGCTCATGTGAAAGAAATCCTTGACCTGACCCATTAGTGCCAAAAGAACATAACCACAGCTTTAGACATCATAGTAAGCTATTCCAAGAGGAGAAGCAATGCCTCTTTCCTAAAACATAACCTTGAGCACAATTGGGACAAATAAAAAACAATTCCAAGGCATAAAAGCTATAGAAATAGCTATGCAGATATAATGTCAGAAACACTAAAGGAAAATCTAGTCAAGGCTTTCCAGTCCTGAACCAAAGCAGACAGAAGTTGGTGAGTATTGTGAAATTGTGATGTATCTGTCACTCTAAGAGAGTCAGCTGTACAAAGAGACAAAATACTTGATAAAAATTAATTTCCTGTCAAAATCTGTTTCAGGCTATTGTATTTCCTAGACAAATTGTAGACTTAACAATGTATATAAAATATACATAAAAAGATAAAACAAGCAGATTTGTTATTTGCTCCAATTAAAAATCAAGGTCAATGAGTGTGTGTGTGTGTGTTTTATGACAAAGCCATATCTGGCTTTCTGCTGTGTCCACTGAGGGAAATCGAACCCTTGATTTTTGCACTGTAAATCCATAGACTTAGCACTGTCCCACCAGGGGACAAAGTCAATGAGATTTTACTTTTATGTAGACTTTTATTCATGTTTCCACTCCACCACAAACTTGTTATACACATATATTATGATTTCATATATACAACTGGAGATCCTTCACAGGTTGGTCAGTTGCTTGGCGTTTTTTATTGCAAAGCAACTAGGCTATCTGCACCAAACAACCAGCAAAAATCTTAAAAATAAAATTCTATAAAATGTAAAAATAAATTGAGGTAAAACTAAACAATGCCCAAAATTGAGATAAAGACTCAAATAGAATTAAAAAGGGCAATGGCTTGTAAAAAATTTAAAAACACAATCAAGTTAGACAGTGTCACCATCACCAATGACAGGGGTAAAACCACAGAAAATACATGTCTAAAATGGTGCTGCTGCTCACAGTCATAACAATGGCACGACAGTAAAACGTGGACTATTGTGACTTGATTATCACATTGGTGGATCAGTGGCAGATAAAAGAAAAAATGAGTTAAAAAGCTGTGACCAATGTGTAGCCTAGCGAGAACAACTTCCTCTTTCCGATCCTTACGGAAACAAGATGGCCAGAGAGCAACAGAGGGTTTGATCTGATCGAGGTTTCAAGTCGAATCAGGTGGTCCACAGTGGAGTGCTGTCGACAGAACCCACACTGAGTGGGTGAGAGGAGGCCACTTGATTCAAGGAACCAAACAAGATGATCATTAACCATCCTCTCTAAGACGTTACAGAGAAAGCTAGCCAAAGCAGTTGGACAATAATAAGAAGAAATCTTGGAATCCTTCCCATGCTTAGAAATAGGTAGGACAATAGATATTTGCACCAAGCATCAGGAAAAATATTCTCCTGCAAGATCCAGTTAAAGACAACTAGAAGAAGAGCAAGAGAGGCAGGAGAGAGATGGCGCAGCATCTCATAGTAAACATCATCAGGTCAGACCGATGTACTGCCATACCCATGAAGAGCAAACTTGAGTTCCACCAGCATAAGGGGGTGATTATAGTCACAGAGATGATCGGCCTGAAAGGAAAAAGGTGATCACTCTGCTCGAGACTTGATGGCGAAGAAGGCAGAAACAGAAGTGCTGGAAAGATGAGAAAAGCTCTCGCTGAGAGTATCAGCGATGCTCTGTACATCAGCAACTTTCTGGCCACTGGAGAACAAGATGGAAAGGGGATGGGAAGCATATGAATTTGTAACTGGTGGTAGAAGAGATTCTTTTTGGCTTTGACGTCTGACCTGCAAAGCATGGGCATGGGCTCGCTGGAAAGCAATGCGGTTGGAAAAAGTGGGACACCTGCGAAAGGTATCCCAAGCCCGATCCTGAGCCTTCTGGGGCTGCTGGAGACCAACATGGTTTTGGGTATAGAACGAACAGCTGCTTGAATGATGCAATCAGTTACTGCCTCCATGCAGTCGTTAATAGATGGAAGACAAACTAAAGCAGGATCGAGTTCCAAGAGAGAGGGGAAAGAGAGACAGTCGGTCTGGTCCAACTTCCACAGTGGCACTCGGGTCAGGTGGCATCAACCATGGCCAATCTCTCTTAAAATGACAGGAAAATGATCACTGCCCCATGGATCACAATCAACCCTCCAAGAAAAATGAGAGAAAAGGGAAGGGGGAGCAGATAGATAAATTAATAGCAGTAAAAGACTGACTAGGTGCAAGAAAATAAGTAAAAGAACCAGAACTGAAGAGAGAAAGGTCGTGATTTGAGAGCACACGCTTCACAGAGCGACACCTCCCATCAAGATCAACACCCCAAAGGGGATTGTGTCCATTAAAGTCTCCCAAGATGAAAAAGGGAGATGGCAACTGATTGATCGTAAGTCTCCCTTGGAAACAAGTAGAGAACAAACAGTGATGGTATGACCCAAGGAGATACGGACAGCTATGGCCTCCAAGGGTGTATGGAGTGGCGCAGACAAGGTGGGTATGTGCTGGTCAACCAGCAGTGCCATCCCTCCATGAACTCGTCCATCACATAACCTGTCATTCCAGTATATAGAAAACTGCCAAAAGGTGACAGTATTGGCAGGTTTTAGGAACATTTCCTGTAAGGAAAGACACACAGGATGATAGGAATTGATCAAGGCCTTAATGTCATCCAAATTAGAACTAAAACCTTGACAGTTGTATTGTATCAAAGTGGCCATTTCTATTTAGGTGGAGAACCTTTTTGTTCATGACCACACTGTTTTTCTTCACTGCCCTGGATTAAGTAGGCAGATCTCTGTCAGTAGAAGTAGATTCCAGTGACTGAGATTGTGAACAAATAATCGTTCTGCATCTCGAGGCCAAAGAAGATGGACCCGAGCAGACACTGGAAACAATGGTGAGGACAGAGACAGAAGTAGATGTTTACTTGTCAACTCATTTATCCACTGAGGGCAAAAAATTCTTCACATGATGTGAAAAAGACTCTGACGAAAGCACAGAAAGCTCTGTCTGCACACCCACCATAGCTGTGGAACGTAGTGGAGCAGTTATGTCCATGATGGAGTATGGGAAAACAACTTCTGAGCTTCTGGATAAGAAATGTTGTTAACAGTTTTTAAATGCTGTACCTCTTTCTTCTCTACCCATTTAGGGCAAGAACGATAGTAAGAGGGGTAGGAAGCACCATAATTAAAACAGCAAGGATCAAGTTCACACTCGTAAGCATCATGGTCTTTGCCACCACAACGAGCACACGTTACAGAACCATGACAAGATGACTTTGAATGATTGAACCGCTGACACTGGAAACATCTGAGAGGGTTGGGAATATGTGGCCATACCTTACAGTTCAGATAACTTGCCTTGACATGGCGATGTAAACATCAAAATAAGAATGCTAATAGGCAACATAATTCCTTCGTTACGAGTGAAGATATGTCGCACTGCAGAAACACCTTGGCTGTAGAAACCAGCGAGGATCTTCAACTCGGGGATGTTCTTCAAATCACTCTCAACAATAACTCCTCATGAGGAATTCAAATTAGCATGGGTAGTAACCTCAATGGGTATATCTACAGTAGCCTTTGAATTCAGGAGAAGTTCAATGTTTTGGTGTAGATTTTTTTACCAAGATGGCCCCAGAATGTAGGGCTGACTCTGGAGCAAGCCCCTCTAATACCTTCTGAATAAAAAAAAAAAGGGAGACATTTGCCCTAAAGGTTTGTCTGACAAGGAATGCAAGATCAAAAAACGAGGTTCAGAATTGGTTGAAGATTGCTAGTCAGAGTCTTCAAGACGTAGTCGTTTACCAATTAGCTGTTTTTTTACAATTTTATTTTTTGAGGATTTGGGAGATACATAATAAAAGGAGAATGATTCAGTGCCAACTGACCCCACCCACCATGGGGTTCTACGAGGGGATGCACTACAATGCCAAACAAGGACACTACAGCAATGCCAGGGCTTCGTAAGCACTATACCCAAATACCAGCATAAGACACAACATCCACAATACCCACTGAGAACACCCAACACTGGTACTCAGTTGACCCTAGCCCCTTAGGACCAGCCGACTGACCCTGCAGGGGCCACCCCAAGACCACCTGTCTACATGAGTTCAAGACCAAAGTGGTGCTTTGCAGTGCCCCAGACACACCATTCAACCACTAGGATCCTCTCCTTCACAGGTCACCATGCATGGCAAACACGTGGGTGGATGTTCAGACCCTAGAGGAGGTAAACTGAAAATACAGAAGCTTCCCTGAGAGGTCCCCTCACCATGTACAGGAATCCATTTCAAGAGGATTCTTTACAGAGCAACCACATGTTCAATGTGACCAGTAACAATTATCATCCATTGCATTAAATTTGTCATAATGACCATATGTATGTACTGAAGACCTTCCACTTTAGTATATCATTACATTACAAAGAATTCAAAAGTAAAACTTGGTTAAGTGCAATATCCATCACAAACAGAGTTACTTTTTCATACAGATACATGATAATCATATTAAGTAACATCACATTCTTATAAGGTACTGAAATTTTATTTGTTGTGTCTGCTACAAAAGGTGCGCACCATCCCCTGATGAAAGGTAAAAGGTAAAACAATTTTCAGAAAGTGACAAAAGTACAAAAAAAATTCTCATGAATATTGAAAAAATATAAATTAAAATTACCCTGAATAGAAAATTTGAAATACTGAAGGACTATGCATGAAAACAATATACTATGCACATAGGGTGAATTTTCACACAGAATACAGTAATTATGAAACATTATCTAAAAATTAAAACAAAACTATATATATTGTAGTTTTGGCCATAACGTGATTTGTTTTTGTTGTTTAACAACATTTACAAGAAAACAAAGAAATGAACCATATTTTCAGAACTTTAAGATCTTTGTAATTGCTGCTAGATATTTGAGCAATGCAAAGTAAATTTTATTCTAAGCCAGCCATCACCATTATCACATGGTCACTTTGAAACATAACAATTAAGGTTACTTTTGGATGATCTATTATATACTGGTTTCACTTGGAATAATTAAATATTTAATAAAATTAATTTAAAGCTTATTTTGCAGTACTAAAAAAATTCAGCATTTCGCCATTAGGTGGTATTTACATTAGCTTTAACTGTATGCATTTTTAGTAGACAAATAAAAAACCATACTGTGGGGTAGTAATAATGCCTTACTCAGTATACTGTAAATACAAAATTTACACAGCTTTCTTATCAGTTTAGTAGTTGAAAAAATTCAGTGCTTTTATCAGCTTTAACCCTAGAATTGTCAAAAGAATCCAAGTGAGCTTTTAAAACTACTTATCTTGCGGGTCCATACTCTGTTGGTCATCCTTAATAATATATGGGTTACACACAAAAATCCAAACAAAAAATACCATCAATATTACATTTAATCCCACTAGTTAGAGCTCATATTCATATGAAACCCTAGATATTTTATACAGAAAACAACTGATTTAATTGCAACAAGTTTACTCATTATGATGAAATAAAATGTAACCTACTGAATCACACCAAAATATTTTCTATTGCATCACAGCGAGTCATCTTCTTTCTTGTTACATCAAACTTGGTCATTTTTATATGTTTAAAAGGATGGCACTTCTAATCTGAAATTCATTCCAGTTTCAGCCTTCAGTTATTTTTTTTTTTTCATAATTTTGCACTCATTTTTGTTTGTTTTGAATTTCATGTAAAGCTAAATGAGGGCTATCTGCGCTAGCTGTCCCTAATTTAGCAGTGAAAGACTAGAGGGAACGCAGCTAGTCATCACCACCAACTGCCAACTTTTGGGCTACTTTTTTTACAATTGAATATTGGGATTGATCATCACATTATAATGCCCCAATGGCTAAAAGAGCAAACATATTTCGTGGGATGGGAATTCAAACCTACACCTCACATATTGCGAGTCGAGCGCCCTAAGTACTTGGCCATACCAGGCCCTTGGAAATGGGTAAACTGAGTTTCAGAGACAAATGTATGGTGGATAAAAATATTACTGAAAAGTCCGGAGATTATTATCGAGTTCAATATAGTGATTACTATATGATATCAAGTACTTGAAGTGAAGAAGATCATTTATTTGAGATACAAGTTCAGGTGACACTGATAAATAACTGGAAGCAGTTAGTAGAGTGGTTTACAACACCATGACAGTAGCAGATGCTTATAAATCACAGAACAAAGCAATCAAGTTTAGAATTGGAACTAAGATAGACCAATTTTTTCACAGACTTTAACAAATTTTATCAAACTTCAATATGCTTATGATTTAATGATGCTGATGAATGAAGACATAAAAAAAAATCTTATCCTAAAAGCATCTTCAATGAATGGATGCAGACTCTTCAGCAGTAGTGTATAACATCAGAAAATATGACCACTGATGTATAACTGGTCAAATTCTTAGCAGATGTCCCTTCAAACAATACACTTCAAGCAAACCTGGAAAATATGGCATCAACCTTTGGTTTTCTTGTGATAGTTACACATTCTTTGTTCATAACATGCAAGTGTATACAGGAAGAGAAGAACGACAACCAATGAATGAAAAAAAAACAAGGAGGGAGAGGGTCATGCTAGACATGATCCAAAGATTAGAAAACAGTTTAAAGTTGATCAAGATATGCTATTTAAATTCGATGACGAGG